TTTGCAAAATGTGGTTATGTCTGTTTTTAAGGCACTGCAAACCACTTGCTTTATGGCAGCCTTAGTGTATTGACCTTAAACCTGTAAAGAGTCCTTAGTTGTTAAACCATTTCTAACAAATTTTTAAGTGAAGCTAAGCACAAGTTTCCTTATTTGCCTACTAATGTAGGCTTACATTTTGTTTTTCAATAGCCAAATAAGACCGATTTTGAAGACTATGGGACCTAAGTGAAAGTGTAAATTCAATCTTAGAACAGTCTTCCCAGAAACATAATTCTACTTACACTCAGTTTATCCTAATCTCTCCCTATGTGTTTTTTCCCCTTTTCTAGGTATCCATAGGATTTTTGATCATTTCAGCATTTAGTTGTTTCATTTATATGTGTGGCACAATCTACCCACTGGAGTAAAAGGCTCTTAAAGGCATTTTACTTCTTGTGCACTCCCCAAACACCTAATAGACATCCATCAGGATACTGGGCATTAATAGAATACTTCCTCAATATGCACTTGGTTGATTCATAGTTTTTTTGTTTTGTTTTTCACTGATGTGTCCTAAGCTGCAGACAGTAAAAAAAACAGATCTGTAGAAGGAAATGTGTTCATGTTTTCATCTGAACATAACGGTAGGAACCACTAGGAGGATATTCAAACATCAAAAAATACACATCAATGAGACAGAAAATTAACAAGAATATTCAGAACTTGAACTCAGCTCTGGACCAAGTGGACCTAACTGACATTTACAGAACTCTCTACCCCAAATCAACAGAATATACATTCTTCTTTGCAGCACATCACACTTATTCTAAAATTGATCATATAATTGGAAGTAAAACACTCCTCAGCAAATGCAAAAGAACAGAGATTATAACAGTCTCTCATACCACAGTATAATCGATTGAAACTCAGGATTAAGAAACTCATTCAAAACCACACAACTACATGGAAATTGAACAACCTGCTCCTGAATGACTATTGGGTAAAAAACAAAATTAAGGCAGAAATAAATAAGTTATTTGAAACCAGTGGAACAAAGACACAATGTACCAGAATCTCTGGGACACAGCTAAAACAGTGTTTGCAGGGAAATTTATAGCACTAAATGCCCAAAGGAGAAAGCATGAAGGATCTAAAATCCACACTCTAACATCGCAATTAAAAGAACTAGAGAAGCAAGAGCAAGAAAATTCAAAAGCTAGCAGAAGACAAGAAATAACTAAGATCAGAGCAGAACTGAAGAAGATAGAGACACAAAAAAAAACTCTTCAAAAAAAATCAGTGAATCCAAAAGCTGGTGTTTTGAAAAGATTAACAAAATAGATAGAACTCTAGCCAGACTAATAAAGAAGAAAAGAGAGAAGAATCAAATAGACACAATAAAAAATGATAAAGGGGATATCACCACTGATCCCACAGAAATACAAACTACCATCAGAGAATACTATTAACACCTATACACAAATAAACTAGAAAATCTAGAAGAAATTGATAAATTCCTGGACACATACGCCCCCTCCCCAGACTAAATCAGGAAGAAGTTAAATCCCTGACTAGACCAATAACAAGTTCTGAAATTGAGGCAGTAATTAATAGCCTACCAACCAAAAAAAGCCCAGGACCAGATGGATTTACAACCAAATTCTACCAGAGGTACAAAGATGAGCTGGTACTATGCCTTCTGAAACTATTCCAAAGAATAGAAAAAGAGGTACTCCTCCCTAACTCATTTTATGAGGTCAGCATCATCCAGATGACCAAAATCTGACAGAGACACAACAGAAAAAGAAAATTTCAGGCCAACATCCCTGATGAACATCAATACAAAAATCCTCAATAAAATACTGGCAAACTGAATCCAGCAGTACCTCAAAAACCTATCTGCCACAATCAAATCAGCTTAATCCCTGGGATGCAAAGCTGGTTCAGCACATACAAATCAATAAACATAATCCATTACATAAACAACCAATGAAAAGAACCACATGATTATCTCAATAGATGCAGAAAAGACCTTTGATAAAATTCAACACCCCTTCAGGCTAAAAACTCTCAATAAACTAGGTATTGATGGAACATGTCTCAAAATAATAAGAGCTATTTATGACAAACACTTACAGCCAATATCTTACTGAATGGGCAAAAGCTGGAAGCATTCCTTTTGAAAACCAGCACAAGACAAGGATGCTCTCTCTCACCACTCCTATTCAACATAGTATTGGAAGTTCTAGCCGGGGCAATCAGGTAAGAGAAAGAAATAAAAGGTATTCAAATAGGAAGAGAGGAAGTCAGATTGTTTCTGTTTGCAGATGACATAAATGTATATTTAGAAAACTTCCTTGTCTCAGCCCAAAATTTTCTTAAGCTGATAAACAGCTTCAGCAAAGTCTCAAGATATAAAATCAATGTTCAAAAATCACAAGCATTCCTATATACAACAAAAACAGACAAACAGAGAGCCAAATCATGAGTGATTGGCTCACAATTGCTACAAAGAGCATAAAATACCTAGGAATACAACTTACAAGGGATGTGAAGGACTTCTTCAAGGAGAACTACAAACACTGCTCAAGAAAATAAAAGAGGACACAAAAAAATGGAAAAACATTCCATGTTCATGGATAGGAAGAATCCATATTGTGAAAATGGCCATACCACCCAAAGTAATTTATAGATTCAGTGCTATCCTTTTGTCAGTGCTATCCACCATTGACTTTCTTCACAGAATTAGCAAAAACTTTAAATATCATATGGAACCAAAAAAGAGCCTGTATAGCCAAGACAATCCTAAGCAAAAAGAACAAAGCTGGAGGCATCACGCTACCTGACTTGAAACTATACTATAAGGCTAGAGTAATGAAAACAGCATGATACTGGTACCAAAACAGAGATATAGACCAATGGAACAGAACAGAGGCCTTAGAAATAATGCCACACATCTGCAACCCTTCAATCTTTGATAAACCTGACAAAAACAAGCAATGCAGAAAGGATTCCCTATTTAATAAGTGGTGTTGGGAAAACTGGCTAGCAGAAAACTGAAACTAGACCCCTTCCTTACATCTTATACAAAAAATTAACTCAAGATGGATTAAAGACTTAAACATAAGATCTAAAACCATAAAAACCCTAGAAGAAAACCTAGGCAATACCTTTCAGGACATAGGCACGGGCAAATATTTATGACTAAAACACCAAAAGGAATGACAACAAAAGCCAAAATTGACAAATGGGATCTCATTAAACTTAAGAGCTTCTGCACAGCAAAATAAACTATCATCAGAGTGAACAGGCAACCTACAGAATGGGAGAAAATTTTTACAAGCTATCCATCTGACAAAGGGCTAATATCCAGAATCTACAAAGAACTTTTAAAAAAAGAACCCCATCAAAAAGTGGGTGAAGTATATGAACAGGATATGAAAGGATGAGCTCATGTCCTTTGCTGGGACATGGATGAAGCTAGAAACCGTCATTCTTAGCAAACTAACACAGGAACAGAAAACCAAATGCTGCATGTTCTCACTCATAAATGGGAGTTGAACAGTGAGAACACATGGACACAGGGAGTGGAACATCACACACTGGGGCCCAAGGGGCAGGGGAGCCAGGGAGGGATAACATTAGGAGAAATACAGATGACGTGTTGACAGGTGCAGCAAACCACCATGGCACCTGTAACCCATGTCACAAACCTGCACGTTCTGCCCATGTATCCCAGAACTTAAAGTATAAGAATAAAAAAAAGTAAACAAAAAATAACAGATGCTGGTGAGGTTGTGGAGAAAAAGGATCGCTTATACACTGTTGGTGGGGGTGTAAATTAAATCAGCCATTGTAGAAGACAGTGTGGCAATTCCTTGAAGACCTAAAGATTGAAATACCATTCAACCCAGCAATCCCATTACTGGGTATATACTCAAAGGAATATAAATTGTTCAGTTATAAAGACACATGCAGGCATATGTTCATTGAAGCACTATTGACAATAGCAAAGACATGGAATCAGCCTAAATGCCCACCAACAATAGACAGGATAAAGAAAATGTACACCATAGTATTCCATGGTGTACATATACACCATGGAATACTATGCAGCCATAAAAAAGAATGAGATCATGTCCTTTGCAGGAACATGGATGGGGCTGGAGGCCATTATCCTTAGCAAACTAATAGAGGAACCAAATACCACATGTTCTCACTTACAAGTGGAAGCTAAATGATGAGAACACATGAACACATAAAGGGGAACAACACACACTGAAGCTTATTGGAGAGTGGAGAGTATAACTAATGGATACTAGGCTTAATACCTGGGTGATGAAATACTTGGTACAACAACCCCCGATGACATGTTTACCTCTGTAACATGTTTTCTTGAACTTAAAAGTTAAAAAAAATATACAAAGAGACTTCACATGGCATCACACTCAAGGTGCTTGCAACTAGAATTCCAGCACCTGTGATACCACAGGAAAGCAATGCTCACCTTTGGGAGCTTTTCGAGCAGTTACTTATCTCCCAAATTTGAGCCTTTCTAGAGAGTATTCTCAAGTAGCTATTTTATGCTTAGTATTATTGTTACTAGTAGGAGCAAAATCTCTTAAATTACCCTTTACATTGGCTAAAATTACCCATGATCTTATAGTCCCCGACTGGCTTCTTTCCCTTTTTTCTAGCTCTAGCCAACCTTCTGGACTCAATTTCTTTAATCCTTTCTCTTGATTTCTTCCTGCTTCTTTTCTGCCCACTCCTGTCTGAACTTCAAATTGAATGTACTTTATAAAATTACATGTAGGTAGTTCAGCCATGCTGTTGACTTGAACTGAAATATTGGACAAAATACATTTTAAGTTGTTTTTAACTAAAAGCTAATGTAGAATTATTGGAATGTGGAATGTAAACATATTATGTTAAGACTGTATTCCAATAGCTTTACAAAAAAACCCTATCATGTTCCTTCTACTAGAAATCTTAAAGGATATAATTCACTCTCCGAGTCATGATGCAATTAGATTATATTTTATTAGACATTCTTTACAAATTTAAAATACTGCTATTTTTACATGCACAGAGGAAAATCAATTTGGATAATTATATTTAGGCATTAATTAAAATCAACCACAAAATAGAGACACTTTATTGTGTCATTTATCAACATACTTGATATGTATATCTAAAGTGCATTATGTTACAAAAAATATAGAAATTCAGCAGCACCAAGATACATTTACAAAATAAATACATCAATTGACAAAATAAATTATGGTAAATGTGATAATAATATTGGATTAGCCTTGGCAAAAAAAAAAAATTCACAATGACCAATGTGCAGTTTCATAGAGCAACGGGGGAGACAGTTTTATTCCAATGCATTTACAGTATTTACAGACAATAAATATTTCTAATACTTTCCATATGTTCACTATTACAGAATCCTGCAATATGTCCTTGGAAGGTCTCTGCTGAAAATTTCAATGCCTCCTGCAAAAATAAGGAAGAGAAATAAAAGGGGAAAGGTTAACTTCCTTCACAAATGAAAACATAAAATATAAAGGTTATAAGCTAAGCAACACGGAATCACAATGGAAAAAGATTCAGGGAACTTCTTGTAAATATTTCCTACAGGAGGTGCTTGTAAGATCCACCTGGATCCCTGTAACCTCTGTTACAGGCAGGGTCTTCAACCCAACTTAGTCCATGTGTGCAAAAAGGAAAAGGGCCTGCATTTCCAATCATGCTATCAGAAAAAGGGAACCCTGGAAGAATTTTCCAAGGCTGCCAGATGGCAAGTTTGGGAAGAGAAGGGACAAATTTGAGAACTTGGAAATAAGGTTAGGTTGGACCATCAGATACAATTCACTTGGAAGTTTATTCCCCAGTGACACCTGACTTAGGCAATGCAAAGCTTGTTTATTTGGTTCAGGTGCTCAATTGGTCAGTCTCTCACAACATAGTGGACTGTGGTGAGGGTAGTGGAAGTGTGGGACATTGGTAACGACTGGAAGAATGTGTAGTTAAATAGAATTGTGATGGTGTGATGATACCTGTTTTAGTCGATGAGATGATGATATCTGGCATTTCTTTCATTGTCTTTAAACACTAATGAATTTTATAAACACTAACTGGATTTTATAATAGTTTTCAAAGCCAAAACTGAAATAGAATCATCTGTCTCTCACTCTGTTGGTTTTTTGAATGGATTTTTTGTTAGCATTGGGAAAGTCTACTGTAAATGAGAGAATAAGAATAAATTAATTTAAAAGCATAAAATAGCAGTATTTCATATCACCATGTCTCTTTTATTATTCTGAAGTTACTACCTGAGACTGACACCTTTTCTAATCTATCTAAATACTGTAATGACAGTATTTTAAGATGGGTTAGCAGAGTTTTCTCTACTTTTTTCTCTCTCTTTCCCTCCTCTTTTTATGGTCTGTTCAAGTGACTTTGTATTCATTCCCAAGGAAACAACTATAGAATGGAATTTGATTGGCTATGTCATTGAATTGACAGCCAGAGTTGTGGTAGAGTTTTACATGGCAGACGTGTGGGTGTGAGACCTACACAACAGCATAGTCTTAACCGTCTTGGAGTTTTCTGTGCAGCTTACAAAAAAAGCAAATTGAGCATTTAGAGTGTTTTAATGTCTGAAGTTACTGACCTCTTCACCAATGGTTTTGGTGGGAATGTTAGAGTTGCTCCCAGCTGCAGAGAAAAGAGGGTTTAAGATTAAAAGTCTAATTGGTGGATGGATGCGGATAGATGATATGAATAAAGCCAAAACGATGACCTCAAAGCTCAATAATTGCCATACTCTGCTGATTTTTAAATGTATTTGTGCTAAATGGTATTTTGTGAGTTGGATTTAAGAATAACACAAAGAGGGAATGAAGAGGATTTTGAATAATTATTTCTTCAGAAAGAAAGAAAAAAGAAATAAGTTAAAGGACCAATGAAAAATCTATGTACATCTCACCAGCCCAGATGTTTGTTCCTTTTCCTTCCTTTAGATTTCTCCTTTAACAAAGGCATGTATTGGAATAGCCAAGTAAAACATCTAATATGACCTAAAAGTATATGTGTGTGTTTACTCTATGTGTGTGCATATGACAACATTCTACAGTCTTAGCCCTTTTGACTATGGACTTCCAATATTTTTCTAAATCAGTATTTTCCAAGGCAAAATGATATGATTTCTAACAAATGAGTCCTACTGTATTGGGATATCTTGTTTTTAACAGCGAAAATTCTGAAATAAAATTCCCCCAATTTCAAGCTATGTATTTTCCACTGAATGGTCATGTGAGAGGAAAACAGACAATTTTATCTCAGCAGTTTTTTTCTAAAAAGATACTGTATTATTGGCCGGGTGTGGTGGCACATGTCTGTAATCCCAGCACTTTGGGGAGGGCGGATCTCCTGAGGTCAGGAGTTCAGGACCAGCCTGGACAACATGGTGAAAACCCACCTCTACTAAAAATACAAAACTTAGCCAGGCATGGTGGTGGGTGCCTGTAATCCCAGGTACTCAGGAGGCTGAGGCAGGAGAATCTCTTTAACTTGGGAGGCACAGTTTGTGCTGAGCCGAGATTGCGCCATTGCACTCCAGTCTGGGCAACAGAGTGAGACTCTGTCTCAAAAAAAAAAAAAAAAAAAAAAAAATACTCTATTTTTTTTCAAAATACTGTATGTATTATAATTAACTTCATGCTTGCCATCTCATCAGACCTCTTGGTTCATCATGTAATGCAAAAAAACTAAGGAGGGAGGGGTTGTTAATAAAAGACTTGTCACTTATAATACTTTAAAATAGTTATTCTGAAACTATTTTATTTGGATTATAAAATTTGCATGGCCCCAGACATCCTCATCAATGCACTCCTAAACTTCCTCACTCTTCCCTGCACCTCTGTTGGATTGTGTTGGGGGAGTGCCAACATTTGGCTGCTGAACAGTTCTTTCCATGAATGTCCCTCACAGGGAAGAGAAAGGAAAAGCAGAAACCTCCTATTTCTTTCAGCCCTAAGTCTGGATTTGATTAGGCCACTGCCTAATTTTTACTAGACCTACTTTAACTTAGGGGTAGGTTCAGGCATAAGAATTGATGAGTATTAATTTTCATCAATTCTCCAGATACTTAAAGAGCATTGCAAATTTGAAATGAACAAAATCCATTGAAAGTTATTTATACCTCTGTTTTTATAGCTCATGTGTATAATAAGACAATGGATAAAAATAGGATTTGGCAATAAAGTAGGGTCCTTGCATTAGTTATAAATATATACAGTTAGGATCCTGTCTTAAAATACACTAACTATGTGAAGTAAGCCAGAATTTATAGGGTGTGTTACCCTTTATAGAACCATTAGATGTTTGAGGATAGGTCATTCACTGTGCTGAAGATTTTTCTAGTGCCACTGCCCATTGATTACTGAAGCTGTACTACTTATCCCATATGATTGCTATTTTATGTGCTATTTAATGACGGGTTTGCCAACTTAAAGAGAGAAATAATGGTGAATAGGTTCAAGCTCCCCTTTGAAACATCATCCTATAATTCTATCTGTAGCAGAGTTAAAGGAAATGACTAAAGAAGTAACGGGGAACCCTTTAGATGATGAGATCATTAGTTGCATATGATGTGTTCTGTTGTTTTCCCCCTTTTTTTTCCAAACCCCAAAAAAGTGCTGTACTGAAATAAAAAGGAAAAAAAAAGATCCTGTCAATGGAAATGCATGGATAAAGAAGCAGGGCTAACACGGCAATGGTCTAAGTGTCAGAAAATAGGGAGATCAATCCAGCTCTGGGCCTACCTATTTCAATTCCAAGGATTACACTTTTAGTGGTGGAATGCCTTGGCTTTCTATTTTATATAATGAGATTAATATTTGCCTCAAAGAAATATACCCACCTAGATAGATAGTTGGATAGATATAAATAGATGATAGATAGATAGATGGTACAATCAGAACTAGGTCTAAAAACACCAAAATAATATGTTGTAATTTATTGAGTGTTTACTATATGACAGATAATTAATCCATATATAATTTCATTTAGTCGACACCAAACTCTATGAGGTTGGTACAATTATTATCTTCATTTCATGGAAGTTGTAAGTGAATCTTAGAAACTAGACAGAGTAACTCTCTCTAGGTTGTGAACTTAAATAAATTCAGACCCAAGACTTGAGCCTAAGTTATTTGATCCCAAAGTCTAGGAGTGTCATTATTACCTAGATCTGTGAGCTAAAAATAAACAAGCCACATAAATGTGAAGTTTTATTTTTCCTACTGCATTACCCTAGGAAAACTATTTCATCTTGCCACTGGACAGAGACATACATGAGCAAAACCTATATCCTTGTAAGTTAAACATTTTCAGAAATCATTTAATTGTTCATGAGCTGGTATAAACCAGAGTTAAATTTAATTAAACAAATTTAAAGCATGTGTTTAAAACATAATTTAAGTTCTTTACATTAAAATAAATTTGAGATTTAATTAAATACACTTAAATAAAAAGTGTGAATGGCTCAGAATCGTTTATGACAAGATACTGTTCTGCAGTGTTTGTAGATAATATAAAAAAGCCTTCTGTGTTCTCCCTTGAAGTGAAAGACAAAGAAATGAAAAACACTGAAGAAAGTTTGCCAAGGTGTGAGAGTAAGGGGAAGAAACACACCTCTCCAGCAAATTATGAAGATGGTCACTAGCTTCTGAAGCTTGAATATGAAATTATTTGGTGGAACGGTAAAGGATGGATGTTGGGTGATGATGGAGAAAGAGGAATGGGCTCTAAAGCCTCTCCATGGTGCTGGGGGACAGGAGTGTGTGTGTTGTAGGGGGTACTGCTTTAAGGCAGACAATATTCTGGCTTATTCTCTATCAATTGCTACAAAATTGATAGAGACACAGAAAGGGAGAAAAGTCTAGATTTGTCCGAGCCAAGGCAGAAGGGAGGCTCCAAAACCCAGCTGAGGCTACGGGCCAGAGAAGCCTGTTACCGTGAATGGAGCTCCAGCGACGCTGCGGAGGTGTCAGACACTGGGTCCCCTTCTAGCCTACTCCCAGCCACTCCAGAGTCTAACCGGGCAGAGCGAGTTCGCCGTTTTTTCTTTTCCTGCTCCTTGCGTTTCCCGGGCTTGCTTTTCTTTTTCTTCCCGGGTGTCTTGAGCGGCTGCTCTTTGTACGTCTCCACCTTGTTGGTTTCCTGAGTTAGGTATCTGCCCTCATCGTCAGACCCAAATCGGACGGGGTGGTTCTTTGTGCTGGGAGAGGGCTTGGAGTTAGGGGACACCTCCGAGGTAGCTCTGATTTCAGCTGTGTGGATTTCGGCGATCAGATGGTGGAGGAAGAACCGTCGCCGTAAATCTTGGATGGACTTCCCCTTGTCATGGAGGAGCTGATGTTCAGACACAGCTCTTTTGCTTTGAGAGAAAATATTGGAGGGGAAGAAAACAGTGAAATTTTAGTTGTTGATAGAGACAACAAAGACATGAGTAAGTCTCTAGTTTTCTAGTTGGTCCACCGCAAGACACAAGCTGATGGGTAGCTTATTGTGCAGGGAAGGGTAACCAGTGGGAAGGAAGGAGCTGGCACTTAGGAGGCTCCAGCTCCGGGTCCCAGTTCTGCCACTCACTAGGTTGTGACCTTGGTGGGAACATGAACATTCTTGGGCCTCATGGGCCTCAATTGCATAAAGGGAAGGGGTCAGAGACAGTGATTTCTATTCTCCCTTCCCAATTTAAAATACTATGATTCAGTTATGATCAGAAATAGAAACCATGGAGCATCTCTTCACATTTTTCAGAGTTCTTCTGGGAAAATAAATCTAGAAGTCTCAGCCTGGGAAATAAAAGGCAACAGCTTTTACCTGAGCATTCTCTTTCGTTCTCTCTCTCTCTCTCTCTCTCTCTCTCACACACACACACACACACACTTGCCCCATTAAGAAAATAGTAATATTGAAACTCAAAGAACAGCAACCCATAAGAGTAAAAGCAAACAAACGCTGAAGGATGAAGTGAGCAGTGAAGCTTGTCTAGGAAACCATCTGATTCACAGACTGAACTTGAACATTTTAGACTACCAGCTACCAAGAAGATACATTTGAAGGCCAATAGTCAAAGAGCAAGAGACAGAGAGAGAGAGAGAGAGAGAGAGAGAGAGAGAGAGAGAGAGAGAGAGACAGAGGAGAGAATGTGTATTTTTCTGTAAAGTAGTAGGTGGTCTCCTTAAAATGGGTTTCTTTGTGTGCTTAAATGAGATCATTCTATTTCTTCTGTGCTTCAAGTTTTGTTTTTTTTTTTTTTCCAGTTTAGAACTTCAGAGAGTATGATCCTTACTACTTAATTGAGAAGCTCACTTTTCTACTTGCTCTCTTTGTCTTAAAATTCTCTAGGAAAAAATATAAAGGATTTTTCTATTTAAACGACACTCTAATGAAAGTACTGTGAAAAAGAATAAACTAATTCTCTATCAATCCTTTTAGATAATACCCAAACTCTTGCTTAAATGTTCATCATGTATTCTTTTATTATTTTGTGTATATTATTAACCATATTTAAGGACTGCATCCATTAATCAGTCACATCATGCCTACTTCAACTCTGCATTAACTCCAATTCCTGCCATTGGAATAGTCCTCCAATCTGGCCCATCCTCAAAAGCATCAGAAAGTGTTTCCCAGGGCTATATCCCATGTATTCTTACTTCCTTGACACAGTGGTGTCTGAGTCCTTTGTTGCCTTGGTTGGTGCAATGTCTTTAACTCCTCAGAGAAATATGGCAATAATAAATAGCATTATTACTGCCCCCACTGTATTCATGAGGAAAGTGAGGAGCAGAGAGGTTAAATGACTTGCCCTAGTCTACACAATGGTAAGTGGCAGAGCCAGGGATCCAGAAACTAGGTCTTCTGATTCTGAAGCCAAGATTGCTTTTTTCAATTTCTGCAACCCTTTCTCCTGTCAAAGAGGAAGCTGAAGTTCCTGCCTGTCCCTGTGTTGAGGGAACAAGGTCAGGGGAGTACAGGGTATATGCTTGGGGCATACAGTAACAAGCCACCACAATGATGTGCAGATTGGACAGAAATTTATCAGTTTCCTTGAAGACCAAGCCTACTGCCCCAAAAGCTCATTTTCATCATCAAAATTAGGAACTACAAGTTTGGACTATCACTAGATGAATGTGTCAAAGAAGAGAGTAAGAGATGAAAATATAGTCATCATTTCTCTGGCCCTTCTACCGCCAGCTTCCTTCCAGTATTTTAGTGTGTGGACTAACTTTAAGCCATGTAGCTCATTCAAAAAAGACATGACTTAATGGAAGGAATTTAACAGGAGCCTGGTTTAAATGAGGCATGAAGGAGTCTCTCTTTAGAAAGAGAGAAGGTGCCACATGTGACTAGATTAAAATTCACTTACTGTGTGGCAGTAGTTAGTATTCTGGAAACTTTTAAGAATCTACAAGTTTGAGGCTTTGGAACAAGGTATTTATATCCTTTAATAACATTTTAAAAATAATAGGACAGATATAATTGCATAGTTCATAAGCATTTCAGTTTAATAAGTATCTTTTAGCAAAATGTCACATTAAAAAGTTCTTAACCACTGATAATTTATAGTATTGGGGACTTTTATTTCTTTCTCAGTTCCTGGCAGAAGCACTCCTCTCCTGTATTGCTCTCCAAATGGATAAAGTGTAGCCTATTTTAGTTTCACTTGAGGCCAAAACTTTTAATGGTTGGTCTATTCTAATTGAGCCACCATTGCTCATGCCCCTTCTCATGGGCATATGTGCTTGTCATCTTGGCCAGCCTTTCAAATGTGAGTCACAGTGCCTTTCTAACTCAAGCTGCATTTTCCCAGGATAGTTCTCATGGGAAATGCAGTGATCATTCTATCCTTCTATTTTATAAAAAGCCTACAATATGGCACAACTTTGTCCAATTTAAAATAGTACATCTCTTATGAGGCACAAAGCTTTCCATCTGCCTTTTGGGGGAAACTGTTAGTATTCTAGAAAACACAAATTTTCTTAAATGCTAAATTGGAAAGGCTGTTAGACATTTTACTTAGTATTTCAAACACTTCTGCAATGAAAATATTGTGAAGAATGAATCTCTCACTAGGCAGTTGCATTAGAGGATCAGGAATCTAACAGCATCAGTACAAACTAGATATACATAGGTAGTGAGTAATAAATTCAAATTGAGGAAGTTTTCAATTTCAATAACTCTGAAATATTAAGTTGTAAATATGGCCTCAATAATAGTCTTTTACTCAGTTTCTCTGTAAACATTACATAGCACAATGGTTCACATGGCACTTACATACATAGGCTCCAAAATGGAAAAAACAAGTATGTTATACATCATGATCTCCTTTGATTATTGTAAAAACAATGCAAAAATGTGGGGGAAATGCTTATCATAAATAACTCTAAATTCAGCCCAAATATAGTCCTTCTCCTTAAAAACAAAAAATCACTCTCAAGGGAATTTTTAGAGAAGAAGCTTAAATTTCTAAGGAACTATCAAGGAACAGAGGGCATAAAAACAGTGATGGAAATTCCCTTTCCAGCGCAGGAAGAAACAGCATGCTTGTACCGATGCTAGGCTCCTAAGTAAGGACTCTGTATTTGAGAAGAAAAGTTCTGTGGTACATGCAAGAGACAGGGTTAGGGTGTTAGAGTTAAGATGACTCACCAGAAGGTCCTTCCAACCCAAATGACTCAGTAGAAAGTTATGCTTTTCATTAAGTGGAATAGACCCAGTCTGGCTCCCAAGCAAATCAGCCAATAATGTTTTAGTTTTCTGAATCTGCTGGAGTTCCCTCTCTAACTTAAACATGGAGATAGCCACCTGCCAAAAGCCTTGTTCATCTGCACAAGAACATCTATACACCTCACTTTCTAATATCCAGCTTGATCATGCTCTAGCTCCATTAATTAAAATCCTTGAGATGAACCTGTCCAAAGGACTCACAATTTATTAACTGCCATATTACAATAATAGTAATAACAACAATAATAATAACTACCTCCTTTGCATGGCTTAGGAAGTCTTATTGTTATAGTAATTTCCTCCTCCTTAAAAGTTAGCGTCTAGTTAAAAACAAATGTATACTTCTAAAGCAGTTTCCCTAACACTGGGTGTGAAAACTGGAGAGTAATATGGTTTGATTATATGTTAAAATTTCTTTCAAGAAACTAGCTTGATTTAGCATAATGATATACTTATGTTTTGTCTAGCACACAAAATTTACTGTTACTTGGCAGCAAGGCAAAAATAATGACTTGTTTTTAAAAACTCCATTTGGCTATAATAATTTGATGAAACATCTTCATCTACTGATGATTTCAGCCTCCATGAAAAACCATGCCTGTAATGTGATGATCTATTACCCATTAACTATGAGAATGTTTTGTGGTAGTTTTATAACCATCTGCTGAATGTGAGTGTTTAACTACAATATTTTATTTCACCCACAAACAAAACTATAACAGTTGCTGGCTGCTAAATGGTTTCTGATGTGTGTTTTGTAAGGTGTAACAAAGAAAGAGTTAAAAATAGCCTTTAGGACAACTTAGCAGTATTTTTATGCCATAGTTGTGGATATAATCATGGCTCATTTGCTGTTTCTCAAAAGAGAAAACAGGTATTAAGCAACTTTATAGAAAAAACTGGCTCCATTCCAAGGTAGTATTACTGAGCCAAATAAATACAGTATTTAAGTGTGTTTTTAAAAATTCAGTCTTCATTTCTATTTATATATGAATTGTAAATTATTAAATTTAACACAAGTCTCAAAGTAGGCAAAAAGTCTGAAGACAGTTTTCAGAAATACATTGGTAAAACGTTGATCTGAAGAATACAATGCAGCTTTATCTTCAGTATAATGTTCTACACAATTTGCCTTAGGAGATTCATAATAGATTTTCATTTTGGTGCCAAGGTTCAGACATGTCTAAAGTAATTTCATTTAAGGATTTTCTCCTCTAATAATAATAGACCACGAGCACATATAAAACAGTTGCCTTTTTGTACACCCTCGGGAATTTACAAGGACGCACCATAAACCTGACTGTAAATATTAGATACTGCTATTTTTATTGTTAGGGTAAAAATTCTCCTTAATTCCTTCTCCAGAGTCAAACTCTTCTCAGTTCTCGAACTTTATAGTTTTCCCATTCTGAACACTGAGTCTGCAGTTTAAACATCACCCAAAGATGGTGTTATACATATTAGTGAACTGCTAGGTCCAACAGATGATTAAGATCATGTTACTGTATCACTCTTCCAAGTTTTCAGTCACACGACATAGTGATATTTCTCTGGTGTGCTTGGATGTATGATTATTTCGAAGTCGAAGTTATCATTAAAACAATCACCAAGTGAGAACGCCAAAATACAAGTTTTTAGTCTACAGTGCAAATATTTGACTCCAGAATAAAGAACTGTTAGCAATAATTCTAAGAAAAAAAAGTTTCCACACCTAAAATTCATTTTGGAATCAAGCACTCCAGCGTTCCTGAACTGTATCAATACGAACATTGGAGTCTTGCCACTGCAAAGTTGTTACTACTTTATTATATAATATGCTTCATTATGTAATATGGTCCTATTTTATATGCTTAAAATTATGTCATTCATAGTAAAATTAGGTGTACGGCTTTTGCTTTTTCACACGCAAACCGCCACCCACATTCAGTCTGTATGCAAGCATGCATACCACAGGTCCCCAGGACCGCTCAGCTTCCTCCGAGTTTCAGAAGCTTCCTGGGTCCTGAAAGTACACCTACCCCCCTCCCCGCAACTTTTTTTCCACTAGAGGCAGAGGATCTTTCCCTAGATCCTAGAGGAGATTCTGTGAAACGCTCCCTCTTATGGAAACACACATAAAAATCTGTCTCTTGTCTGTCTCCCCCTGAAGATCAACCAGTTTCCCCGCCGGGTTTGAGGACCGGGCTCAGGCCCCTGCAGGTATCCGGGACGGCCCCTCTCCCTAACCCGTGCGAGGAGCATCGGTGACCGCTGCAAGCCCTCGGCAGCGTCCCAGCTTGGCAGCTTCTCCCCCTGGCCTCCCCAACCTGGCGCCTTGGGGAGGATGGGGCACTTACAGGCGGCGGCTGAGCCCCTCCACCGAGCGCCCGCAGGAGGGCACCGCGTAGCTGAGCAGGAACACCGCGACGCTCCACTGCTGAACCAGTCTCCGCTGCATCGTCTCTCTCGCGCTCGGGATCTGCAAAAGAAGGGAAAGCGACCCGAGTGTCAGTACGGACTCTCCATCTCCCTGTACTACTCCGCTCCCCTTTTTAGCCCGCTCTCAAACAGCCTCTTCAAGGGCATCCCCCAAGTTGCAAAGAAAAATTCTCTGGAGCCTCTCAGCACTTACTTATTTAGCAACCGGCTACTCCAACTGTGCTTTCTCCAAACCACACAGGCAGAAAGAGCAAAAACGGGGAAAAAATAAATTAGAGGCGCCTCCTCTGAAATAATAGCGAAAATGAAATGGTTTTATATATGCATCAATGATAAGTAGTGTGTTTACGCGTCTCCCATAGCAATGTCTAATTAATCTGGCCAGCAGTTCTCCTGGGTTCGTGGAACAGGGCTAACCGCCTCCTAAAAGAATAAAGTTTCCCCCTCTGAAGTCAGCTTCTTTGCGAACCAGGCCCTTGTGTTCCAGGACCATTTGTAGCGAAACCCACATATATATACATAGCTGTCTACCTCCTCTGGTGGGCTGGTTGCTTCCGGAAAGTTGATTCCACACACCCTGAGAACAAGTTTCAAGTGCGTGTGTCGTCGATCAGGAGGGCCAGGTGGCGGCGAGGGCGGGTCGTTAGCGGCAGCCGGAGTGGCAGGGCGGCGGCAGCCCCGCTTCACGGGCGGGGAGACATGCTGGCCGGGCGGCGCAGGTTGGAGGCGAGTTGAAAGCCGAGTGGAGGAATGTTCACACGCTCCGAGACAAACCTGCCGGAGAAGTGAGCGAGTCGCAAAGAGGTGGCGCCCTAGGAACGCGCGCGGGGCGAGCGAGGGCGCGGGCGGGCGCGCCGGGGGCGGGGGCGGCGACGGGCGGCCCGAGCGGGCCCCGCGCAGCCCGAGCGCGTGGAGGGGAGCCCCGAGCCGGGAACGCGCGGCGAGTGGCGGAGCTCCCCCCTCCCGCGCTGCCGCCCCGGAGCGGTCCGGAGCTCTGCCGAGCCACACCCCGGAGCCCGGGCCCCGCTGCGCCATCCCCGGGCCGGGGGCGTGGGCGGATCCGCTTGCTCCCTCCTGGCCCTGCCGGCTCCAGCCCGCGCGCGGATCCGGGAGCCGAGGTCCTTGAGGGCGTGCGGACGGCCCTGGGCAGCCAGCGGTGCCAGGCGCGCAGGGCTGGACGAGCGAGCGCCAAGACCTCCAGGGGCGGACGGACGAGGAGGAGGCCAAGGAGCGGGGCCGGGGACCGCGGGAGCCCAGGAGCCTGGGCGGAGAGGACGCGGGCTGTTGGCCTGTGAATTTAAGGAGCCCGAAGCTCGCCTGGCAGCTCGGGGCGCTGCAAGAGAACCCTCCTCCCTGGCCCATTCCCGGGATGAACTGAGTGGGGAGCGTCGGCTAGAGAGAGGGAGATCTTTTGCTTAGAAGAGCCAAAACGGTTCCAGACTTCAGATCTAAATTGCACTTTTTGCTGTTTCAGAACTGCTGGGGGACATCTGGAGTTGGTCCAAAAAACCCGCACACAGGAGAGATCCCCCTTTTGAATTGCAGAGGAGGACCCACACTCCTGGGGCGCGCACACAGCCCTTTTTACCCACAGTCGGGAGTCTAATCCATCCTTTCTCTAATACCCTAATTGGTTGTCCCCTCCCCCTCAAAAGTCCCAGGTTAAGATACTAGGAAGATTGTATCCGAGTCGCTGCAGACAGCGGACAGATGGAGCGGAACTATCGTTGTGTGCTGCTTTGCCTCGGAGAAGCGACAGGAAAGCGAGGTTCTTTCCAAAGCTAATGGGCGGGGAAGGAAGACTGCTCGGAACTACTGGGTAGTATCATCTAGGAAGGGATTGCAGCGGGAGTGGATACCCGCCCCAGAGCGCCTCTATCTTTCTGAAATGAGCGCTAGTGGCTGGGAACCGCTCAAGGGATGTTTGTCTTCTAGACAATCCTGCTGGTAGGGTTTATTAGTTTCTAGAAGGCTAGTACGATTTAGAGACTTAAGATGATTCAAGGAATGTGACCTTTAGAAAGCCTGGCTTTCCGGGTGATGCTCTACGTGTTTTACCCAGGGTGGGAGAAATAGCGCCCTCTCACCGAGACCCTTGCTCGTCGGGGCTCCCCACTGGTTCATTGCAGCTAGCTAGCAGTCAACGTTTGCTGTTGAGGTTGGGTGGGGGGCACGTTTTCTCAGACTCTCCTGTCTTCCTCAGTTGATTAAGCCTCATACCTTAAAATACTTGGCTGCCTCTCACTAAGAAAACACACACACACACACACACACACACACACACAATCTCTGGGAATTTCCACAAGTTCCCTTGAATGTGTAAGGATTTCTAAATGTTAGACCTGTTTGCATACTATGAAAGGACAAATTATCAGCACTCAGAAATATCAACCTTTGAACCTAGAGCACTTTCTGATTTATAAAAAAAAAAATCCTTCCAAAATGATGCAGGAGCCCTAAAGTAATCGTTAGATCTGAAGGGGAAAATCTGTAAAAAAAAAAAAAAAAAAAAAGAAAAGAAAAAAAAAGTAAATCACAAATGAGCCATTTAATATTTGCAAGTTGTTTAACATTGAAATGATAATATTTGCTTCCACAATAAAAAGTCCAAGGTACCTAGCCAAGTTTCAAACTACTCAGGCTTTAAAAAGTCAACCCTTCTCCCAATAGAAGGTTAAAACAAAAATCAGATTGAAAACATCCAATCACTTATGTTGTAAATAAATACATTTTACTCTCAGAACATTATAAATTAAGGACTGGCATACAGAGACTGCTTTGATTTATATTGTTTTTCTACTAACTAAACAAAATTAACCCCCCCCCACTCCTTCCCTCCTTTCTTTTTCCCCCACACACTTTTCTGGTGTTAATGGCAAAACATCTATCAAATATTTTTAGAATTTCCTCTCCTCCACAAAAAGAGAAAATATAGACAGAGGAAAAATAAATAGTCTTTATATACTCAGAAGACCAGTTCCCTCCTTATTTATTACTTCACCTTTTCCTTGATTTACAATCTTCTTTCTGCTTTTCTGGCTGACAGAGGGAAATCTTCTCAGCAGTCTTTTCCAGAAATACTTTTTTGGTGTTCTTCAAAAAACATAAAATTAAGTCTTAAAATGAATTAAAAGCTTCTTGTAAGGAGACTTCTGTTCCCACTAAAGGCAATTATTAGAAAGCAGGTACCTCTTCCAGGCAGGTACCTCTTCCAAGCTGCCCCGTTTATTACTTTCAGTAGAAATTCTCCTCAGTATATATACCAGGGACCCTGACTTTTTGCCTGTTTTGGAAAGGATATTTTCTGACATCATAATCTAGCTCCTAACATAACTGAGTAATCTCCATCATAATAATGTAGAGGTTGCATGACGGCAAATGAGACACTGTGGGAGCACCCTCTAACCCCTCCTCCTGCCACACACACCTTTTTTCTAAGGCTTAGAAATAGAAAAACTGCCAATAGAAGCTAAACGTTTGCTTGGGCCTTGCTGTCCTGTAAGTGCACCTTAGCAAATGGGAAGGCCTGCCTCTAATCTGAAGCATTTCCATGTTTAGCATGTAAGATCTACACCTACACAAATGCCTAGCCCATGAGCTCCAGGCTTCCATCTTCCCATCCCCAGTGGCAGTTTATTACAGTATATCCAATTTTAAAAGAGGTTTAAAAAATGTTTAATGTATTACTCTTAAATTCAGTTGAATATCCAGTAATATGTCTCTCCAGGGATATTTCCTATCATAGCTTAGAAAAAAATAAACTAGCATGTACACTTAGCTTTTTCATCCTTCTTTTTTCTTTCCTCCTTAGCCCAAATGACAAACAGATAAACATTATAAACCACATATGAATCTATAGCTCTTTAAACTATTGCTTGGGAATGCTCTTATTACCAATAAGCATCAAGATTTAACATTTAGATAACATTTAACAAACAGATAAATATTAAAATCCAAATATGAATCTATAGCTTTTTAAATCTATAGCTTGGGAATGCTCTTATTACCATTCAGCATCAAGATTTAACATTTGCCAATTTGTAGCTCCAAGCTATATCTCTAAAATCCCCTGAAGCCGAGCAACTAAACTCATCTCTTCTCATCTCCAAACTTTTTCAATGTTTACAAAGAGAAGTTGCATAATCAGCTCAAGTAATGTTGTTATTTGATTCCATTAGAATGTGGAATTCCATCACTTGCCTGGACCGGGACTTGAGAGGAGGCTGTTGCCAGCTGACCTCAAGGTAGCAAAAAAGAAAAAGAGATGTAATGCCTTTAAACCCCAAGTAACAATAGGAAAGGGTGTGTTTCTTTATTAAATCTTTTTGTAGTTAGATGAGGATAAGACTCAAACAGGGGCTGTCTGATCCAGGAACTGGGCTGGCTGCGGCCATCTGGAGGAACTGCCCCAGGAAGGAGCGTGTAGATATGCATCAGGCTGATGGGATCCTCCCATGGGAAAAGTGGGCCTCACACCATTTCTCATCCTTTCCTACTTGTTGGGCAGTGTTCAGCTTCCCCCCAAACTAGAGTAGAAGTCCCAGAGGAGAGGCAGTTTCCCAGGAGGAGCCCAAACCAACGTGAGAAGAGAAGGTCTCTAGGAAATGGGCATCCCAGAGGACCTGTTCTTCAAGGTCAAGTACTTGAGCACCTCACAAACTCATGACAATCGAAACATATCTGAAGAGTTTTCTTCAGAGATGTGTGTGTGTGGGGGGGGAGAGAAACAGAGAGAGGAGAGAGAGAAAGAAGAGAAAAGAGAGAGAGAGGGGGAGAGAGAGGGGGGGAGAGAGAGAAGAGGGGGAGAGAGAGAGAGAGAAATGAGAATATGAATGTGCAGTGTCGGAGTCCTGATCTCCTGGACTAGTGCCAGCCAGCCAGATGCCTGCCCTTGGCTGACCAAATTTCTGGCTCCTGAAAATAGGCAGCTCTGGACTTGTGCGAGACCAAAGAGAGAGTTCCAAGCCCCACCTGGCTCAAGCGACAACCTCTCAACCTGAAGCCAATCTCCGGTGGTGCCACAGAGCCCTCCTGGCGGCAGCCCAGCTCCCCACTTGAACCGAATGGTCCTTTCTTAAATTTTGAGACGGGGTTGCCTAAAAGGCGCTGTCCCCGGGAGCATTTTACCTCCCTGACACCATTCTCTGCCCGTGCCACGCTGGCCAGTTCGAAGTCCCTCCCCAGGACAGCACCCGGACTGAGATGACTAAAGTCTTGGGCAGGAAGGATACCTACCCAGACACCCACACTGGATGTCCTATTTGGCTTTGAGCTGGACATTACGGCGTCTCTGGACTGGCCTACCTTTTCAGTATTTTTTTTTAAAATCAGAAATAAGACTTCAGGAGAGCAAACGTTGAGGGTTATGCTCTCCTTCTCAGGAGTCTCCTGGCCTCGTCTTTGCGCTCCCACTGGAGCAAGGCGAGGCCTGAGTCTCTTAGGGCAGGGTCTTGGAAGAGGCCTTAGGGCAACGGGATTATCTTTTTCAGCCTCCCCTTCCCATCTCCCACCCAGCGTCCTCATCTCCACCGCCTGCGATAGACTTGGGTCTCCCATTTCAAAGCTGATCCACAGGGACGGGGCGGGCTTGGCTCCCGGGGATCTTAGGCTCGATGGGAACTTCAGGGTCCTCGGATCCCGTCGGCGGGTCTAGCTACCACTTTCCCTAGGTTCTCCTCGGGCTTCTGTCCTTAAGAAGCTGGACTACAGATTGTCGCACAGAATCCTTCTTGCCCGGAGCGATGTTAGTGTGCCCTTTGCGTTCTGCCCCGCCCTGTCCCGCCGACTTGAGTGCTTGGTTTCTAACCCGAGTATACTTGGAGCCTCCTGTCCTGCGAGCCCCCCTCCCCCTGGGAGAGCCCCGCATCTGGCTGCGGGGAGGGAAAGCTTCGGGAGCCGCGACACCCAAGGACAGGGTTGGAGGGCGCGCGCGAACTTCCTCTGAGTGGGGCTCTCCCTCCCCTCTCTTCTCCCTCCAGGTCAATTTATGACTCAAACATGAGATAAGCCCTAGGCAGACGGTGACGCTGATTTCCCGATGGGGATGCGGGGAGAGAAGGGTGAGGCAGACGTACCCCCTCCCTGGCCGGGCCACGTCCGGGGCCGCGTCGGGGTGTGGAGGGGCGACTCCCTTCCTCCGGGAGCCTGGACTCGCCCTCCCCCAGCGCGCCTCCCCTGCGCCGGGAAAGCTCGGCGCAGCCGGAGCCCCGGGACCCAACTGTTTTATTTCATTTAACACGATCTGCAAAGCCAAGGCCGGGTTAGGGGCGGCGCGGGAGAGGAGATGACATGAAGGAACGTGGAACCAAGTTCTGTCTGCCAACTCTCTCCGATTCTTGGAATCCGGTGGCACCTTTAAAGGACGGAATTGAGGGCAAGGAGGAGGTTATTAATCCCCGGAGCCTGCTCTATGTATAACTGCTCAGTGATTACAGTTGGCGATCGCGGGGCGGGGGGCGGGGGTGTAGACCGTGGGCGGTGGAACACATGGCATCCCTCCAGGGCATAAAAATCAACCTAGCTGTTGGCTCCTATGGCGTTTGCAAATCGCGCGGAGCCGGCTGGGGGAAGCCAGTGAGCTGTCCATGGTGGTTAAGGCTAGTTGATGTGCTTGCGCTGTCCGGGCGATGCACAGACCCCCCCACTCCAGGGGCCGCAACGCCCAGAAGCCCAAGCCTGCCCGCGACCCCGCGGATGTGCGCCCGGCCCGAGGCTGGACGTGTCCGTTTGCACAGCTTCGGGACGCGCTCTTGCACAGAGGCCGAATTCCAGAGATAGGCAGAAAAACCTCCCGAGCCCAAATTGTGGGTTTCCTTTTAATTCCTTCTTGAACGTGTCTGTCCCCACTCAGGCAACGTTTCACATGCTTGAAGAAACGCCCATCCATTTTATTAGCCTCTCTCCTTTTCCCTTTCTAAGGCTCTGTTCTCTAAAGAGAGTGAAACAAGTTGATGATCTTGTTAGGCTTCTCCTGCTTGTTAAAAGCATCCACCTGCTGAAGGCTGCATTTGCACCATGTGGTACGTCCCCAACACCTGCTTTTATTTAATGAGGAAACTGCTGCCAGGAGATTGGCCGGTATCTCAGGAAAATTGGGCAGTTCTTTCCCTAGAGGAGGTGAAGCCCTTAGTAGCATACTGTTCAGAAGGGGCGACTCCTTCATTAATCACCATTGTACTGAGCAGCGTGTCTGATTGCCACTCTTACCAAAGGAGAAAACAAATTGCCACAGGAGTTTCCTTGTAGGTACAGTTTTGTCCAGTTCTTGTGACATATTCTTATGAAAAACGTTTGCAAAAGTAAGTTTCTATACATGTTTAAGGCAAAGGATACTTTGCCTTTTAAATTATCACCATATTTTACCTTTTTGTCTTTTAATTTATCCTGGCAATTTTCTCCTTACTTAACTCGGTTAGTGATCTCATCTTCATCTGAATAACGAATTACCTCATATACTACAAAAGACTGCAAAATATTATACACATTTATAACTCATTTGTATTACATGCCTTTAATTATTGGAATATATTTAATTAACATCCAGTACATAAGAGAATCTTTCACTTATTTCTGTACAAGATATCAGATTGCTGCTTTTACTCTTCTTTCTAATTATGGTGTGGCAAATTAACAAAAGGGTGTGTGTGGGCATACTTATAAACAACTCTTAGAATATTTGATATTCAATAGAAAGTATTATGATTCAATAATTTTTAATAGCTTTTTTCTCTCTTAGTTTTTGGGGCTAACTATAAACATAGCCAGTAGGAAAAATGAAATATTTCAATAAATTCTTCTGAATATTTTCCCAAGTCAATAAAATTGATATAAAGTATTTTACTTTTCTTCTAGTTACAAAAATTAAGGAAATAAGGCTTGAATGTGTACCCAGTTTTTGAAAAGAAATAAACCATCATCATCATATTTTATTATTATTATCATTTTGAAATGTGGAAGTTCAGTTTTGTTCTGTAAATCTTTGGTAGCCTTCTCCTCTGCATCTCTTCAACCTCCTTTCTATGAAAGAAAAAATATATAATAATATAAATAGATTTCATTCTCTTATACTTTATCTGCTTATACAAGTTAGGGTGCTTTTCATTTTGTTTTTACCCTCTCTGTAGCTTCATATTTTCCTGTCCCCCATAGTGATACTGATTGAGAGTTTCCCTTTAAAGTTCAATCTAAGTTTCTTTAGTTTTCTTATTTTTCTAAAGAAAGTTTTCTCCAACCG